AGAACTTGTCTTCATGTCCTTCCACTTCCATTCCTGACCTCCTACTGCCAAGGCTTCAAGAAAATAAAAAAGACAGAGAACTGAGGTTCTCTTCAAGATCAACAGCCAGCGATTCATCCCCATCTCAGTGTCTGCATTGCAGCATTAATGACTATGACCTCTACAAGAGGATCACTGTCCTGGGGTAAAGTCACCTAGCGACCACTGACAACTGGAAGATGTGAGCCTTTGCCATGATGCCCAAAGCTCTGTCAGCTAATCCTGGGGGCTAGCTTTCTTCCAGGGATTCTGACTTGGTTAGTCTGGAGTGGTATTCAGAATTCATCACTTTAAACAAGCTCCCAGATAATTCCCAGACACAGTCGGTTAATTCATTTGCTCACTGAATCTATGTGCATTCCACAAAATAGCAAGGCATTACACAGATATATTTTCAGCCTATGTGATGCTTCCATCACAGAGAAGATACGACCATAAATGTCATAAATGAAATTATAAATTGTGGTAAGTGATGCTTTATGTTTTAGACTAACCAAATCTGACCTAAGCCACAGCTGATTGGAAAAAGTTTCCTCCAGAGATGTTTATAGTCTCTCTGCCTCCCTCTTTCTTTTTTCTTCTTTTTTCTTTTCCTTTTCTTCTTTTTGCTTTCTTATCTACCTGGTCCACTACTGTGGGTCTGTTAAAAGGAACACATCACCCACTAGACACTGCTGCAACCCATCTTCCTAGTCAACACATTTATGAGATGCACAATGATGCTGGGAAAAAGCAGTGAAAATTTAATCTTTCTTATACTCTTACCTAGCAAGGTGACCTGACAAGTCATAGGTTTTCTGGATGCCTATTCCTTAGGTTTTTACTGACTTAAACTGGATGACTTCTGAGGGTTCCTTCCTCTAGCCCTGCAACTGCATTATTTTCAAGTCAAGTGGAGGTCAAGATTTTAGATAAATGAAAAAGAGTTGAAAGGAGCCATAACAATCTTCTAGTCCCACTCCCTTACTTTTAAGCAGGAGGGGACAGAGGGCATGGTCAGACAGATCCAAATTCAAATCCCACCGTCTGTCTGTTATATGTATTCTTGGCAAAATTATGTAAATTTTGTGTCAGTTTATACTCAGCAAGCTGGCTTAAAACTCAACATTCAAAAAATGAAAATCATGGGATCCGGTCCCATCACTTCATGGCAAATTGATGGGGAAACAATGGAAACAATGACAGAGTTAATTTTCCTGGGCTCCAAAATCACTTGTGGATGGTAACTGCAGTCATGAAATTAAAAGACACTTCCTCCTTGGAAGAAAAGCTATGACAAATGTAGACAGCATATTAAAAAGCAGAGACATCACTTTGCCTACAAAGGTTTGTATAGTCAAAGCTATGGTTTTTCCAGTAGTCATGTATGGATGTGAGAGCTGGACAATAAAAATGACCATGTGCCAAAGAATTGATGCTTTTGAACTGTGGTGCTGGAGAAGACTCTTGAGAGCCCCTTGGACTACAAGAAGATCAAACCAGTCAATCCTACAGGAAGCCAACCCTGAATATTCATTGAAAGGACTGATGCTGAAGCTGAAGCTCCAATACTTGGGTCATCTGATGCAAAGAGTTGACGTATTGGAAAAGACCCTGATGCTGGGAAAGACTGAAGGCAGGAGGAGAAGGGGATGAGAGAGGATGAGATGGCTGGATGGCATCACCAACTCAATGGACATGAGTCTGAGCAAACTCCAGGAGATGGTGAAGGACAGGGAAGCCTGGTGTGCTGCAGTCCATGGTGTTGCAAAGAGTTGGACATGACTGAGTGACTGAACAACAACAAAAATTCAACAGCATAGAGGCACTGGCTATATTAACCACTTAGAATTTCAATAAAGTTAATATTAGAATTCACTTAGAATTAAATGAAATAATATATTCAAAGTGCTTAAAACAGTACCTGGCATAGAGTCGAAAACACAACAAAAGGGCCTTTATTTACAACTGATTTCTATCTAATTATTATCTCTTCTTTCACCTTCCTGAAAACTATTGTTTTACACTGGATCCCTGAATTGACTCTTTTATTTACTATTTTAATTTTTTTTTTTATTCTTGATTCTCATTTTTAAAAAGTATGCTTTGGCTGCCTTTTCCCATATCCCTCTACTGAGCATATATGCATAACCTGCAGGCATAGGAGCATGTCTAACACATTATTGGGGATACAGGGGTATATTATAAATGTCAGTATGGCAGCATTTTCTCATTCTACCAACATTTTGAGAAATTAAGGGGAGCATTTTCTCCACATACCTACCTTACCATTCTCAAAAACAAAAATAAAACCCAAAAATGTTTTCCATAGAAATAAACATCACCCACAGAGGCCACATCAAGCAGACTGGGCCTGTCCTTCCTAGAGCAGATAAAAGACTAAATTGGTGGCTTTGGACTGTGGTAACAGGTGCAGTTCCTGTGGCTGGAACTGGGCTAAGATGAGAAGTATTGTGACAAGTGGGTAGAGGCGCAGCATGAAGTTCAGCAAGGATAGAGATGCCTGGATGGGGTATGGGCCTGGGAACTGTAAGGGAAGAGTGAGAAGTAGGTGGTATAACAAACTCATTGCTGGCTTTCAACTTGTAAAATTAAGAGATAGCAGTGACATCTAGTAAAATACATGCTGCTAAGTTCTCATTTATTTTTAAACTAGTGTAAAAGAAAGCAACATTTGCCAAACACATCTTCTTTCTATGTATGTTGTTCAGTTAATTGAGTTTTCCTTCATAGGGTAAAAATAGTAGGGGTTTTGTTTGTTTGTGTTTAGCTCTCTTTGCCTGAGACATCAACTGGATGATAACTTCAGCCTCCAGCATAGGAATCCTGAGGTCCCCAAACAAGAAACTTCCTCAGGGGCAGCCCTGCAGCTTCTGTGTTCATCCCCCGGCTCCCTTGACATTGCTCAGGAAAGAGTAGTTAGGTAATTGTCTGTCTGGTGCCAGGAAACCTCTATGCAACTCTATGCACACGGCTATTTCGCAAAGCACCTGCTCCTTTATTCCAATGCTGCCTCTCCATGAAACGCACTTGACAGAAAGAAACTGTAGCTGAAGAGAAAACTCAGCCCAGGGTGCATTTCAAGGGCTAGCAAAGCTGCGTCCCCAAGAGTCGATAGCCCCAGTGTCAACAATCTCTAAAGCAGGAGCCTAAAGCAAAAGAGAGTTATTCCCACACATGGTAGTGACTTTGATCTCAGTATAAACCAAGCATTTTTGAGGAGGCCTTTCAAAATCTTCCCACATCAGAGGATTTCCTTTGCACAAAGTTTTATGTCAGTCAGGAGAACCCTCTACTTACTAAGAAAGCAACAAAGCAAATATATCATAAAACAGCACAGCAGTGATCATCAGGCATCAGCAACTGCAATCCACACACAGGGAGAAAGCGTCGCGAGCCTAGGTCTGCAAAGGTGGTCATGGTCCAAGGAAATCCCTTTATTCAGAGGCGAGAAGCAGGTGGATGGAAATTCACCATCCCTACGTGAGAAGGGAAAATGACTGTTGGGCTTAGCTCACCAGAGTGAACCTCTGGAGAAGGAAATGGCAACTCACTCCAGTATTCTTGCCTGGAGAATCCCAGGCACAGAGGAGCCCGGTGGACCCCAGTCCAGGGGGTCGCGAAGAGTCAGACACGACTGAACTAAGTGCACACACACCAGAGTGAAAGGAAACAACCTGCACACCGGTGATTGCTGTACAGGCTGGTGAACCCACACCGAGACACCGCTGCAACAAAAGTCAGGCCTGCCACCGTTCAGAAGCTAGAAAAGCAGCTGAGAACTGAACCAGTGAAAGTGAAAGGCACTCAGTCGGGTCTGACTCTTTGCAACCCCATGGACTGTTGTCTGCCGGGCTCCTCTGTCCATGGGGATTCTCCAGGCAAGAATACTGGAGTGGGTAGCTGATCCCTTCTCTGGGGGATCTTCCTGACCCAGGGATTGAACCCAGGTCTCCTGCATTGCAGGCGGATTCTTTAACGTCTGAGACACCCACTTAACCAGAGAGGTGGTGAAATGAGTGATAAAAGCATAGGCTCTGGTGCAAGCCAGACTGGGTTGAAATCCTGCTCCACCATTTGCCAGCTATGTGACCTAAGGCAGGATACTTTCTGTCTAACTTAGGTATTAGTAAAATGAAAACAATACTAGTAGCTACCTCATTGTATTTTTTCTTGCCCATGTCTCTATAATTAATAGTAATCACAGCATTATGTACAGAGGGGAAAAAACACTTTCTAAAACCTCTTTATCCTCAAAGATTCTTAACATAAATTTAACTATATTAGAGTGATTCTACTAGTTTAGATGGCTCCCTTTAAGGTCACTTAAAGAAAACTACTGTAAGTATTATAACTTATTACACTTCACTAGTTGTTTTAGAGCATAAGGCAATGGAACCAATGTGATAATGAAAATGATTATCATACTGCTTTTTGCCAATTTGGGATCTTTTTTCAAGGAAGCAATAGGAAAATATATGTAAATTTTAGAAGAAAAGGAGATGGGGGGGAAGCTTAGAACTGCCACATCATGTCAATACATTTAAAGAAACTGAGCTATATTTCTCCTGATCTTGATTATGTCCAATAATTCATTTTGAAAACAGTAATGAAGGAAAAACACTTTAGCTTAACTGAGTCACACTTGCTATAGAGTATCTCAGACATTAGAATTTGATACAGAATTACATCTTCCTTTATTTTCCATTTTGCCTACATTTTGTTTTTCCCTTCAACAAAAGTAACATAGATACAATTTTTTTAAAATTTCTTTTCAAATATATTTTAAAAACATTATCTGGACAGTGCAAGGCTTCTATCAGGTCTCCCACCCAACAAACACAGACATGCAATCATTGTAAGCTGCTGCTGTGTACTCTTGCAGAGTTTTTTCCTGCACATATATAACACATATATTAATAATCAGCACATTTTTAAATAGGAAGAATTCCACCACTTACCAAAATAAGCCCTGATATTAGTGAGGAAGTTCCTGTTAGGGCCACGTAGAACTTCGGTGTTAATGTGTTCAAAAACATGCTCACTGAAAAATAGGAAAGAGGGAGAAGAACAGGGAATGCATGAGTATATCATCAGTAAAATCAACTCATTTTTATTTCTGGTGAAATCATTTGTTTCTGATGACAAGAGTTATTAGAATCATAGCCAAGTGCCATTAAAATGCTTCAGCATCACACAGGCTCTGAATACTAGGTTCAAGTTGTATATCCTAAAAGAAAACAACTACATACAAGAAAGAAAGAGCAGTTTTGAAAACTATCGTTGTGAACAATTTTCATGAATTTATAGCCACTGAAGAGTCAAATCAAAGCTGGTTACTAAACTGTTAAGAAGAATGAAAGGTGCCCTAATATAAAACATATCTGATGTGTGGGACCCACCCATCAAGTGGTAGTTCAACCTTAAAACAAACAAAAATTAACTATATTAAAGATTTATTAAAGATCCTAATACTATGATCACCCCTGAAAAAGAAATGTTAGCATATATTACTACAGTTTTTTCAACTAACTTATAAAGTTGTTAGACTTCTCATCAAAGTAATTGGATTCAGTGGAGAAAAGATGAAAACTAAACCAATAAAAATGAAAGTACAGTGGTAAGACTAGCTCCTGCCACTCTGCTCAAATCAATACTACAGTAGATCTGGTTGCCCATTAAGTAAGGTCACTTACACATTTTACAAGTATATTTTAAGTCATTATTTATACCTAGAAAAGACACAAAACTTTGCAAACCAAACAACAATTGACCTAAATGGTTTTTTGCTTGCATATTCACATTTCTTAACTGAAGTGTTTGTGGAAGGGGATCATATCCAGTCCTGTTTCAATGAAGAACATTGTAAGTAGGACTTTTATGTCATTAGGAGAAAAGACTTTGGCATTTGTCCCGAGCTCAGCCCAGAAAGCAAAGTCACCAACATGAACAGAGATCCCATGCTCACTCATTCAACAAACGCTTCTCTCTGTTTATGAATGAGACTGTGGACAAAGAATGGAAGCATGAATCAGACATAGCTCTCGCCCTCTAGAAGGCCAAAGTCTAGCTGTGAACAGACAAGTAAACAGACAATCACCAGACGGTTTTGATAAGGGCATCGAAGGGTCCTGTGCACAGAATTTTATGAAAACACCTAAAAGGTATGCACCTCAGTCTGGGGGGTCAGGAGGACGTCCAGGAGAGTAAGCAGGAGTGAACCACACCAAAGTGGGCAGGAGGAAGAAAGGAGGGCCATGTGAGCGAAGGACAGGGCCTGCTTTGAGGCCCTGAGGAAAGAGCACAGCCTTCCCAGATATTTGTGGACCTTCCCAAAGGCAGAGATGTAGAAGGATGCACTGATTCCATCTTTCCTGACAATGGGCCTGGTCTCAGCAAACCCTCCTCCCCCAACACCCACTTTAATCAAACCGGTTTGAGGGACTCGTGGTCTATCATTTGCCATCACAAATCTGCACTAACAAAGTGCTCAGTCAAAAGCCACAACATAACTAAGTGGACTCTTTCAGGGAGGTAGAGGAAGGCACAGAAGGAGGGATGGGCCTAGGGCTATAAGACAAAAGAGGTACAGTTGAAATGTGGTTCTGCACTTGGCTATTAAAAAAAAAACAAAACTGTGGTTTGTCACTTCTACATAACAGTCTAAATAGAAGGAGGCAGATTTCTAAAGATTAAAAAAAAAAATCAAACAATTCTAGTTACAGACCTAAAGCTTGCAACTGACAGTCTGATTCTGAGGTGCCTAAAATTCTCAAAATTCCCCTCCTCACACACTATGAATGATTCAACATTTCCTTTTTTTTTTTAAGTCACCAAAATAGACCATTCACTTTGTTATTCTGTAATTATGAACATTCATATCTGTACCATACACTTTTCAGTAAGTTTCTGGGGACATAGAATTCAACGAAGTCCATTTCTAAAAGAAAGAGGGAAAGCACTACCTGAATTGTGAAGTACTTTGGTAGTCCAGCTAAAAGCATAAAGCAATGGAGAGAAAAAGATTGGCTACTGAAAAATTACTGATCCACTAGAGATAAAAGATTGAAGAACCAACTGACAAGTGAAAAAATTATGTGAGTTTTTAAAAGAGAGAAAAATAAACATTCTATACATTCAGTTTTACTTAAAATTATATAGCAACCATCAGAAACAATTAAAACATGCTTCTCTACTACATCCAGTTATATACACCAGAGCTGGGAGAGAGAAAGGGGGGTACTAAAAGAAATAGACAAATACAGAATGAGAGAAGTAGAGATAGAAGCATTTATAGAGAGTGGAAGGTGTTCATTTAATAACCTACAAATTTTATAGTCTAACTAGATATTCTGGGTAACATCATTAAGACATGGCATTTGGCAATTTTGGGCACAAATATCAACAGTTAGTACTTGCCATTTGAATTTATCTATGTATTTAAAGTTTACAATAGCAGTTTCACAGACTGGAGAACTCAATGCTCACTTCAACTCTGTGAGGGCAATATTATCATTCATCTTATTTCATAGCTGGTGGTTGGGCAAAGCCCTAACACAGTTATCCAGCCCCCAGAGCTCAGGCTCATGTTATCAAAGGTGCACATGAGGACACAGCTGAGAAGCATGGAGGAACAAAATAGCAAAAGGAAAGCAGCAGTCGTGCATCTGAAAGGGAGAGGAAGCTCTAAAGGAGAGATACTAAAAGATGGATGATTTTACTGCTATTCCCCGGGGTGGGGGGATTGGAGGGGGCTCAGGGGGGTGGCGGGAGAAGGCAGGAGGCCACCCTGAAAGGAAGCGTCTAGTTAAATATTCCTCCGTTAAATGAGAGCCGCGCACTGCAAACCAGACTGTCTTAAACCTAAGAATACCTTGCCTACTTTCATCAGAGTCACTGGAAATTATTTTTGAAAATATGAGGGAGGGCCTGCTTAAATACCTAAAAATTAGACAGAAAACCTTGGGGAGTATAGTTTGAAACATAAACTGGATATTTCCTGACATCTATAGACATAGGAATACTATCTCCATAGCTGCTGGGACTCGGGCAAAACAAATGGTAAAGACTAATCTAGCTTTGGTAAGAATCAACTCATAAAATTAAAAACTTAGTAAGTCAGAAGGCTTTTCACCTGACCTTTCTGGACACACTAACAGGTCACTACTCAAAGAATATTGCATCAATTATTCAAGGGTGGCCAGCCTCAGGGACTGTTTCTTCAGGCGTTCTGAAGATGCTGAACTTCAGTCGCATCTGACTCAGTGATCCCATGGATGTAGTCCACCAGGTTCCTCTGTCCATGGGGATTCTCCAGGCAAGAATACCAGAGTGGGTTGCCTTGCCCTTCTCCAGGGGATCTTCCCAACCCAGGGATCAAACCCAGGTCTCCCGCATTGCAGGCAGACTCTACCATCTGAGACACCAGGGAAGTCAAAACTTGGCACAGTCTGGAATTAAATACAAGTCTGAGAAGAAACTAGGTAGGAGGGGTGGGTAAATGAATTGAAAACTCAGTGACCTCTCTGGATCACAGAAGAGAGGAGGTAAGAAGATAATGCAACATGTCAACTGTGGAAAGTCAAGAATCACCCCTGTGAGCTGGGAACTGGAATACCAGAGGGCTTACTCAGGAGTCACGTGGGATGGCCCTGTGAGGTCCTGTCTGTGAGGAGCCAGCCCTGTTTCTGGCCCTGGTGACAGCAAGAGTCTTCCTGCATATTCTTCAGAGCACAAACAATTCCCAAATTACACTCCTGGAGAACACCCTCAACACGTAACGCTTAAAGAGTGTTTGACTCCTCAAGATATATTCTACTTTATACAAGCCCTTGAACGAACAGGTTAAAGCAGCATCAAAGACTAGGAGGTCCTGACTAGACAGAACTGAATATGCAGTGTGATAAAATCTACAACACCCAAAACATGGGTCTGCTTTGTCCCTTGTTCCATTTAATGCCTTGCTAAAATAGGGCATGTGAAGTAGAAAGAATTCGAAAGTTATGACAATCAGCAATCACTGAAAAGATTAGGACTAAAGTCCCTAGGAAGAAAGGTTAAAGAAACTAAATCTACTTAAGCTCTATTGGGAGAACAAAGAGAGAGAGAGATTTTGTGTAAAAGTTTTATGCCTGGGAAAGAGAGAGGGGTCAGGAGACTTGGTCTCTGAACTGAACCCAGCAGCAGTGGTAGCCCTGGGAAATTCTTACACCCTCCCAGAGCTGCTCGGAGGCTCAGACTGAAACAGGCCTTTCCTCACCCCTCACAAACAGTTCATATCGCCGAGTGTCACCCTGGGCAGGGTGCTGGGGATAGATCAAGGAGCAGAGCCCCTCCAAGGACTCACAATCCAAGGGGTGAGAGAGGTAAGTAAACCACTAAGAGAACACATGAGGGAGTTAGGAGAACACACAGCACTCACAGGGATTAGGAGATCAAGAGAAATGTCTGCCAAATGTAAGCATCCCATCTGAGACTTGTAGGATGAATCAAGAGTTACCCAGGTGAGATTACTTATGGCTGTATTGGCTATTCTCAGAGACAAATGAAAATGAGTTCAGATTGTACTTCTCAAAATTAAAGGTGTTTACCACTCTTTGGTATTCTCCAAAAATCATTTATCAAGGACTTCTCTATAGTGACTTTATGCAGGGAGTAGATAAAAGAATACTGAAGAAATAGGGAACCCTGAATTCTTACTTTTCTTAGAAAATAAATATAAGTAAAATTTATTTCAAAAGTTGAAAATCTATGATTCTGGAGCTGTTTCATTATCTACAACATAAGAATACTATGTGTCTTACAGGGTTGTTGTGAGACCTCAATGTGATAGTTTAGATAAATTGCCTAACACAGTAGATGTCATCAAATAATATTATTGTTGTTTTTTATATTACTCTTCCTTTTGTGATTGGGCATCTTCTATTACTATGGCATAGAAAGCAGAGGAGACTAAGCTGAACGTATAAATAACAGTAGGAATAGTAGTCATCTAGCATTTACTGAGCACCTCCTGTATGCCAAGCACTGTGGTACAGACCACAG